TTTATTTATAACACATTTGGGTCATAATCTGGTAATCTATTTACTGGAATTTTAAAATATTAGCAGAACTTTGGGAAGTATTTTTCCTTAGCATTTTCTGATTTATTATAATTTGGAAACAGCTAGACATAGACTCAATATCTGTTGGGTTATGTGGATCTTCATGAGAACTTGCTTAATCTTGAAGTTTGGAAGCCATTTTTTTTTTGTTAATTATTTTGTATGTACTGTGAACCTGAGTTTTGGCGTTCATACGGAATACATTTCAAATCTAAAGAGCTGCATAACAGCAAAGGTCTCAGGCAATATGTCAGGATACATTTGTGTTAGGATGCTTGTAGGCATAGTTGAACAAGAGGTTTCAACAATGCACAATCTCCTTTTTTTTTCCACCCATGGAGGACATTTAACCTATATAAACTTTCCAAGAACAATTTTGCTCATAAGCTTCCTTTTGCCATCTGAAGTTGGCTTGCATAAGAAAAAATGAATTTATATCCCATTTTTTTTCTTTTCTGTTATATGTAAATAAAACCTGAAAGGTGGTTGAGCTTTTCAGTTCCTGTTTGGGTTAGAAATTTAAGTCCTGTCCACCCTCTTTTTTTAGAAGGCTGGGTGAAAGCCAACAGGATGAAGTCCAATGCTGACAAATGCAAGGTGCTACAACTAAGGAAGAATAATCATAGTTTCATAGTAGCTAGGGTCAGGAGGGACCTGAACAGATCATCTAGCCTGACCCCCTGCCACAGGCAGGGAAGAATGGCTGGGTCACAAACACCCAGGCAGGAATGAATGCTGGGTTCACAAGACCCAAGACAGGTGATCATCCAACCTCCTCTTGAATTTGCCCAAGGTAGGGGTGAGGACCACTTCCCTGGAAAGTTGGTTCCAGATTTTGGCCACCTTAACTGTAAAATATTGCTTTCTGATCTCTAACCTAAACCTATTCTCCATCAGCTTATTACCATTATTCCTCCTCACCCCAGGTGGTGCTGGGGAGAAAAGGGCTCTACCTATTTGCTGTTGATCTCCCCTGATGAGTTTGTAGGCAGCCACCAGGTCCCCCTTCAGCCTCCTCTTGCTGCGGCTGAACAGGTTCAGGTCCCTCAGTCTCTCCTCATAGGGCCTGTCCTGCTGCCCTCTCACCAAGCGGGTGGCTCTCCTCTGAACCCTCTCCAGGCTGGCCACATCTCTTTTTCAAGTGCGGCGCCCAGTACTGGATGCAGTACTCCAACTGTGGCCTGACCAAAGTCGCATAGAGAAGGAGTATCACCTCTCTGGACCGGCTTGAGATGCACCTTTGGATGCATCTCAAGATTTTTTGATTTTGATGCATTTTGCATCAAAAACAAAAATGCAAAATGAGTGAAAAGCTCGATGGTAGCACCAATGAAGAATCTATGTATCTTGGTGGATCACAGGCTCAGTATGAGTCTGCAGTGTGTTGCAGCTGAACAAAAGCAAATGTAGTGTTGGGCTGCATCAATAGGAGCATTAGGTGCAAGATGCAGGAAGCGATAATGCCTCTTTGCTTGGCACTGGCTAGGCTTCATCTAGAGTAGGGGTTGTCAACCGGAGGTACACGTACCCCCAGCGGGTACTTTGAAAGGTACGTGGAGGCAGGCAGGGATGAAGCAGCACCACCCCGTGCCACTGTCTCATAAGAGCAGGACCAGGGAGGGGTGAGAGCAGGGCCACACAGATGCCATGCTGCCACCTCTTGCCACCTGCCTGCCACCCACCCACTCTGCATCCAGCTGCTTGCCCCCTTGCTCAGCATTCGGCCGTTGCCGCCCCCCCCCCCCCCCCACCGGCATCCAGCCGCTCCCCCTGCAGGGGTACACTTATTAAAAAGGGGGCCGCTGGGGATACACTTATTAAAAAAGGTTGAAAACCCCTGATCTAGAGCACTGTGTGCAGGCAACAAAAAGCACTTGGAAGCAAGCCATTGAAAGAAATAGGTGTGTTCAGCCTAAGGAAAACTTGATTAAGAGGGGACACGATAGCAGTTTTCAAATATCGAAAGGGCTGCCAAAGAGAAGGGCTGCCATAAAGTTCCTGTGACTGCAGAGAGCAGGACATGGACCAATGGATTGAAGTTGCAGCAACCTAGGTTTAGGTTGGATATTAGGAAAAATGTACTCATTGTTAGAACACTGAGGCAGTGGAACAGACTACCTAGGGAAGTTGTGGAATCTCCATAATAGGAGGTGTTCAAGAAGGAAGTTGAATAACCATTAGTCAGGGGTGATCTATGTTTGGAGTACTCTGTAAAGACCAACAATTGTAAGCCTAGGAGCCTTTCTTCTCCACCTCTAGATTGCTGGGAGATAAGAAGAGCTCTGCAGCCTAAAGCAGGTGAATACTGGAAAGGATGATGCTCAGAAGCATGAGAATAAAACAGTGCTCCATACCATCTTAGTCATGAAAGAAAATTAAAGCAGTTGGGATAAGGTTTTATGGAGAGGCTACAGAAAGAGGAGTTCAGGCTGTCCACTTGGAGGGTGTGATGTATAGGATGATGTTTGCTGTGCCAGTGTTGCATAGCAGAATGGAGGGTGTTTGATTTTTTTGTCCTCCAAGGCTTCTGTGCTTTGCTGGTTGCCACATGGGCCCAGGAAAGAAACTTTTTCCCCTCCTGATGCTACACGTGTCAAGGTTTTGTTTTTTTTTCCTTTTGCTTTTCTCAGAAGCATTGGGTGTTGGCTGCAGCCAAGGCTGAGAATTTTAACAGGGGCATGTCAATGCTCCTGCTGGAACTAAAACCTGAAGGTTCCTTATTAGACGGTCTTGCCCTTCTACTCAGGGTCACGTTTGGGATCAGGAAGAAATTTTACCCCATTGTCAAAGTAGTGTGGACTGTGGGGAGGTTCTGCCTCCCTCTGTAGTTGGGGGCATGGCCCTCCTCCTCGGATCTCTCAAGTGCATTGTAACAAACCTTGCAGTGGCAAAATACTGATGACCTAATTTCCCTGCTTTATCTATGGCAAGTTAGGGTGGTTTTGGTGTCTTTGGGCCATGTGCCTTGCAGCTGTGCAGCATGGTCAATTGTAGTTTTAGGAATTGGTTAGGAATAGGTTGTGTAGGTTTAGGTTTAGGTTTAGGTTTAGGTTTAGGAGCTTGTCTGGGATGGTTTGAATAGGGGTGATCCTGCCTTGAGAAGGGGTTGGACTACATAAATTCTAGAGGTCTCTTCCAGCCCTATGTGACATCTCTGATGACTTCTTCAGCAATGCATTGGAAGACATGACTTTCTTACTATGAGAGTCATCTTCAGTTCCTAGGTTTTTTACAGATGTTTTAAATGGGAAGATAGGAAAAAACATTGCAAGTGGAAAATACTTAAGTAAACAAACTTTAGGTTTTTCTTATTACTATTATGATTATTTTCCATCTTCATACATTATTTTCACCTCACTGCTTTTCAGCTTTTCCTTAGTAAACCACAAATCCATTGCTCTCTTATCTTTCGTCATGTCTATTTCCATAGGTCCTGATTCAGAAAGATACTTAAACAGATGCATAACTTGAATCGTGTCTATATCTTAGAACTAATCACATACCAGTATTTAAAATTACATAATCTTGAATTAGGGCCTTAATAGAAAATGTACATCTAGATAAATGCACAAAGACTTGGACCATTTTAGTCCCATAATGGTCCTCCTGGCATCCTTCTGGAAAGAAATAAAACACTATTCTGAAACTGACAGAAATTCACAAATAAAAACTTTTGAGTATCCTGGACTTAAAGTTGAAAAGCTACTACTCTTTTTGAAAGCTCCCTGTAAAGAACAATAACATGTAAACAAACCCTCTTCTATCTAAGAAGACGTGCTCCTCCAACTTTGACAACTGTGAAAATTCAAACTTACGTTTAAACATAAAAAACTCCATGACTCTTGGTAGGTATGGAGATGAGCTTTTAAGATCATCATAACAAGCTCTGCTCTTGCAGCACGTCCACAGAAAACTCATAACAGTCTTAGCTCCAAACCATTTCCACGGTCTTCCAAGTTGGGAAGGCAGCTTACTTAAATGCCTGATTCTTATTTATACTCTGATTATATACATCACTACATTATAGACAATAGTAAATCTGTCTCAACATACCTGTATCACATTGCTTCTTACTTAGGAATACACACAATCCATGAAAAAAACACACACTTTACATGTTCTCAAACCAAAAATCAAAAACTCCTTAGAGACAATGGATCAGCACTTCTTCAAAGCTCTTGGAGACTCTAAAGGAAATGTGCTGTCCTCCTGGCAGATCCACCATAATACAACACCATTTGGGGTGTAGGGCCGGAACTAAAACTGGTATAACTCACATGCTAGACATCATACTCTTACCATAGATACTTATGTGGAAAACCAATATCTTGTGCTTTCAACATCTCAACCTCTACAGTTCAACTATAAAACAGATTGATTATATGTCAGATATATGCTGCTGCAAATTATGAACTCCTCAAAGGCCTTATGAATCTATCAAAAGCATCCTTATATTTTCTTCTAGTTTATGGCTTAAACCCAGCTTCAGAAAGGTAACTCTTATTTAGGCACCTAATTTACTATTGAGGAATGATAAATGTCTTTCTCTAATAGTTTCAGATAAAGCTTTAGTGTCACATAGAAAACAAAATGAAAAGCTGTCAGATTTGCACAAAGGTAGAATATCAAGATGCAATTTTCCAGCAGAAATGAGTAATTATAATAAATACTTGGCAAAAGATGTTAATGTTACAAAATGTGCATGACTTTGTTTCCAAGAATTTCATTATCTTTATAATCTCTGGAATTTTAGAACTCATACATAGATTTTTGTTTTAAATTCAGACTGTGCTTTTTAGTTTTACTACACACACAAAAGGTGCCATAGGTAGCTCCAAATATTTGTATACAGGTTATAGTGAAGCAAATTATAGACACAGAAATATGTGCATTTCCTACAGCCTAGTACATAAGTGGATTTATAGACAATTGCTTCTTACTTTGAATGGCCTCTTGTCCCAAGCCGGCGTGTGGTAAGGAGGGGAAATTTCTGCCGAATGGTCTAAAGAGAAAGGCAGACTTATTAGTATCTAGCAAAGGCATATTTCCTTAGCTAAAAAAGCAGGTGTTGGACAGTAGCTAGATTTATGTTCTGGAGGAAATTAAATATTAGATAATAGATAAATGGTACAAAAGAAAAACAGTGAAGAGAGATAATTTACATTTGTTCTTCACAAAGAAGAAGCATTATGCCACCAGAATCCTCAGACAGACAGAAAGCTGTTTATGCTTTCTAATGGTGCTTTATATCTGAGCTTATCTCACTTTAACTGCAGGAACACCTGCCCCTCAATTGCCTTCCAACTCTCACTCTTACTCATATGCCACAAAAAACTAGCTGTCTTCAAAAGGAACCTGTGCTTTCAGGTTTACACAAACAGCTCTGGTTGCCCCAAGCGCCTAAGAAAGTTTGAGGCAGCATCTGTTTTGTCCACTCTGGAGGGATTTGGTTTTCTAATGGGCTTTAAAAATGTTTAAGTGTAATTCAGAGGTTAAGACAAGCAACACTGTCCTTCTTAGATCCTTAAATGGTCCCCAATACTGTAGTATCTAAGCCCATTACCATCTTTATTGTATTTATCAATTTTTTCTCTGGATTCCCCCTCTGCAATAAGGAAGTACCATTTTCCCCATTTTACAGATAGGGGAACTGAGGCTATCTGACGAAGCCAAGGTCAGTCAAAAGGCCCATGACACAGCAAAGACTCTGGCCTCTCAGTTTCTAAGCTACTACCTTTATGAACAGACCATACTTCCTCACAAATAACCTGAGGCAGTAGATGTACCAAATGAAAAAGTTACTTGATGAGAAACACCGGAAACAGAAGTCACAACAATAATACTGTTTAGGTGGAAAGTTATCGTATTCCTCACTAGTACTGACATCAGTTAATCTAAGTGCATTGTGAATTGCCCCAATATATCCTATGCAGAAAGAAAAACATGGCAAGCAAACATTTCATGAATTGGATTTTATTTCCATTACCATTATTTCATTAAACTAATGCATTTCAGTTCCCTAAGCAAATTGAGCAGATCAGTAGTGTTTTAAAAAAGATGATCTGTAAAGAATTTTTGGTTTCCTGTTTCATTAACTACACTAGATTTAATTTAAAGACTTTGCATCTTACTCTGATTAAATGATTTTGGGATTAATTGTGGGGGAGGAACAACAGCTTTTTATTTAGAAGCTCTTTCTGTTATTATTTCTCCTTCTTTCTCTAGTAAAAGTCATCAAAGTACTTCTGTGGCTTTAGATGGCTTGAATATAATTAAAGCTATGCTTTCCATACCAGATCACTCAATCTGAACTTTTTTTGCAATGGTACCCCAATGCCATTACAAACCAAAGAGAATTTTAGTTTAACTCCTCTGAAGCTGTAGAATTAGTTTCACAATTTAGATGAAATAACCTAGGTTTAGCTGGGCCCAATTTAACACAAGGACACAGACGTCATAAAAAGCACAATGAATTGTGCATTTCTGAGAGTCATGATGACATGACAACATTAAGAGTTCTAACCAGTGTGATTTTTTTGACAAATGTGTCTAATAAACTATGAATAAATCATGTATTTGCTCTTTACCTTCCCAAATGTTGCAGCACAGGCAGGTTCTAGCTTCTCTTTTCGACAAAAGTCTAAATAATGTGCATAAAGGATGCACCTGGGCAAACAAACTCCTTCACACACTATGTAGTTTTCTTCAAGCCTGTAGAGTATATAAGCAATAACAAGAATAAAACAAATACCTGCTGAGTTTCTCCATTCTATTTTCCCTCCATTATTCCATACTGCCCTTTTTACTGAGTGTTCCTGCTACAGCCCACTAAGCAGTAACTAACTGCATGGTACCTAGAACAAGAGCCTGAGAGAGACCAGCTCCATAGACAATGCATTCAAAGTGCACTGGTTATTCACTCCCTAGAGAATAGAAAACCCAGGCTCAAGTTCCTGAATCAGGCTTGCACAGTCTCTTGAGTTGTAGCTATTCCACTTTATATAAATAATTTAATATTCATTGGAATTCATTGTGTGGTCACCTGAAATGTGGGAGACATAGGTGTAAGTCCCTTGAATTTGAATATTCTACTTAACAATATCTCTAACTTAATCACAGGACTATTGCCTATCCTGTGCTTGCTCTCTCTCCAAGTAGAAATTCAATTCCAGACCCAAGAAATCTTTATGACAGACACTTGAAAACCAATGATTTGGCATGTTCCAAGAAGAAAACATTTTGGTGAAAAATTGCTAACCAGCGCTAATTCGGATTGTCTACTGATGGATATCAAAGAGAATTCCATAGACTGAAACCACACCTGGTGGCTATTCCTAGATCTTTTCACGTTGTAGCTGTATACCGCTAAGCACCTGGTCCAGTAGGGTATTTCAGCCCTAGCTCATTTCTATTCTTCAGCATTATATTCTTCATGGTCATCAGTAAGGCTTGTACATTACAAATACAACAAAAAATAAAACCCCTCATTCTTTCAAATGGCATAAACACGTGAAAGGAAATGCTGTAGAAGACACAAGATATGGCATGGGATCATATCCCACTTTTTAGGGTAAAATAAATAAAAAACTCAGCACTAACAAATACAACCCTGCATTTGCTCTTATGATTTTCACAGTTAGGGGGAATAATCTAGGTCTACCTCTGTAGTGTATAATACAGTTCCCAATAGTCCAAGGGCACTCTTTACTGAGCAAGAAAGGCAGAGTTAGAGAACTATTTGGAAAAATCATGCCAAAATAAAATTCAGTAAAATTAGCTTTCTCATTAACAGTGGGATACACTGACCAAATGTATGACAGTTAGTGGGTAACTAAGCACATCCTTTCACAAGTTTATGCCTTAATCATTCACCTCTCCATTTCTTTCTAACACTGTTAATGGGGCTTAAGTGTTATTGTAGGTGTGATCATTCAGAAAAAATGCAAAAAGCAAGGTTTTCTTTCCAATATTGTCACTTACTTGTTTTTAAGAGAGAAAGACAAATCATGCTTCATGGAAATAAATTGATACTCTGACAATATGCATCATATACTGATTAGTATTTTATTATTTGGTAAACAGAAAGGAATATTTCAATTACAATCTATCCTTTTACTTGATTTCCATTTCAGATGCCTGAATTTACATTCAGCTCTGATAAATCTGTACACAGTGACTTTATTCTTCAATAAGTTTGCCATTTCATAGAGAGCACACGTAGTGAATCTCATGAAATTATTCTAGTGGATATATTAAAAACAGATAAAGTTCAGCAATATAATCTTTAAGAATTTTACGACAAAAAATTTGTGCGCTACATTTTGAAATAACGATTTTCAAAATAATACCAGAATACATCTGAATCAAATACCAAAACTGAAAAAGTGGTTATGTAATGTAACATGACTTACTGCATCAACCAATATGCACATTCACTTTGACACAAAATCCTGTGTTATCTAGTTTTACTTATGTGACACTAAAAGGCAAGTATCAATATTTTCTTCAAATAGTAGAGTAATTTTCTTTGGGAAAGCTTTCATTTTGAGATTTTCCAACCCAAATATACTCAGACTCTGTAAATAATGAGCATCTTTCTCTCCTCAAAAAAAAGAAATTAGCAAAAAAACTGTGGAGTAAAACAGGTATGCTCTGTATCTGAACTAGAGGAAGGCAGAACAGATTTGTATCTTATAGATGAACCAAGGCAGACAAGGTTCCTTGGGTGAATTTGATATCTTTTATTAGACCAACCCAAATGGTTGGAGAATAGTTATTAAGCAAGCTTTCGGGTTCAAAAACCCTTCGTCAGGCTAAGGAAGCTTCAGCAGTTGCTGTGTGCTCTTCCATCCAGGAAAGCTTGCTTAATAACTATTCTCCAACCATTTGGGTTGGTCTAATAAAAGATATCAAATTCACCCAAGGAACCTTGTCTGCCTATATCCTTAGACCAACACGGCTACAACCTAAACCCCTGCATAGATGAACCAAAGTAGATATATGTATCTACTTATATATATATGTGAATATTTCTATAGATGAATAAAAGCCTTACCACTGTAGGGTGAGTTGGGTCTGTTTCTTTTTATCCTTCATGATCTGTGTGATTGTTTTCTTTGGAGACATGGGTTTGTCCAGGGATTTTATTTTATTGCCATGAATATCTGCATCCTCCTCTTCTGAGGAAAGGGTTTCACTGTTAAAATGTATTTCTAGCAGGAAAGGGGGAGGGGGAGAAAAGAACATAAATCCAAGTGTCTCACTGTATTGTTTATCACAGTTTCTTGTCCTGATATATTTGCCACAGCGCTGATTTTACTTACAGTATTTGTGTCTGCAGCTGGTAATATGGTGTGTATAACTATGGACAGTGAGATGCCTTGGTTCAGTGGTTCTCAACCTTTTTGGCAGAAGGCACCCCTCTTTCAGCTCAAGGCACACTATGGAAAATGCTAGCTCTTGCTTTTCACTCATTTTTGACTACAGAAAAATAATAGAGCAATTCTTCCATTGCAAAGACCTCAGAAAGACCACAATAAGTCAGAATGTTTTTTTTAACACTATGGGTTCCTATATGAAATCTCTGGGTTTATCTTGCAAATCATGTTCACACGCTTAACACTGTGTGGCATCCCACGGCACCTTTGAAAAGCTGTTGAGGTGCCCTGGTTGAGAATTGCTGCCTCTGGCTGAAGTAAATCGCTCTACCTATCTAGGTCAGCTAATGTAGCTGTATGAAACAAAGTAAAAACTTGCAGCATGACAAAATACAAACTACATTGATGTAGCAGTCCTGGCTTGCTCTCTCTCCCTCCCTCTCTGCATCCTGTATCGCTACAGTCCAGATTTGTGGATAGATGATCTCAGACGGAGGACTCTCTCTTTCTATGTATGTGTGTTATATATGTATATATTTGGATAGATAGATAGATAGATACAGCAGTGCTAGGAATAGATACATGCATACGTAGATGGATAAGTATATTGGTAGACATAGGAGTGCTAGGGCTAGATACATACATACATACATAGAAGGATAAGTATATCGGTAGATGCAGCAGTGGACAGGTAGAGAGACAGATACATAGACAGATGGGTAAGTAGATCGGGAGACACAGCAGTGCTGGGGCCACATCCACCCCCATGTCTCGGTGGCAATGCCGCTGTCCCACCCCGTCCCCGTCTCCTCCGGTCCCCGAGCCTCCAACCCCGGCCCCGCAGGGCGGCCCCCGCCGCGCTCTCACCTGCCTTGACGCCCGGGGCCACGCGGGGCTCGGGGCC